AGCCGTCGTTAAATACCTTTTTTTGGTCCTCAAAGAACTTGGGTTCCTTGAAGAACCTAGATGATGAAGAGGAAGGGGAAGAGGATGGGGAAGATAAAGTTGAAATGATGATGCCAAGGATCAGGATGAGAATGAGGACAAAGATAAGGATGAGGAGAAAGAAGAAGATGAAGAAATTTAAGTTAATTATGTTTAAACTCATTTAATTCATTAATTAAAAAGTAAAATTTTTAATTTATAGAAGTGGTTTAAAATGCTTACATAGATTTATGATTTTACTCACATAATTTTCACATCATTTATAATATCATTAAAATAAAAAAATAATCAACTTTTTCCATCCATTAACATGACAAATCAATAAAAATTTAACAGAAAGACCAAAAAAAAGTTAAATTTTAAATTTTAAAGACTAAAAAAGAGATTTCAATATAAGGAAAAAAAAAACTTTTTTCAATAGTAAAAAGATCAAAAAAGATATTTAACCTTAAAACAACAAAGCTATATTGCGTATAACAATGAGAGTCAAAAGGGTTTTCTTTAAAAATAACCAGGAATATTTGTTTTAAATTTTTGTAAGCATTCTCCATTATTGATTATAATTAAATAACTTTAATATTTTCTATTATATATAATAATTATTATCAATTATAAAATATAAATTATCAGTTACATGTAAACCATTAATTTAAATGTTCTCCGTTCTAAAGAATAAGATGTTATTTACCATTAAGTCCTAAACCTTAATAACATTTAGGCCTTTATTTGCTTTTTTTTTTTTTTTAAATTTTGAAACTCAGGTCTTTTTATATTTTAAAATTTTATTTTCATGAAATGTAAATAATAATTAATAAATAAATAAAAGAGAGAAAAAAACAGTTACCCGTAGCCATCGCGGTGGTAGCTACGCACATGAACTTTGGATTGCGACCCACCACCGCTCTTACTCTTCGCCACCCTCTCCACCTTCATTTCCAGCAGCGATTTCTCACCTTCCTCCATCACGATCTTGTCCTCCGAAATCGCACACAGTGACGGCTTCCACTGAGTCACGGCGCCGGAAGCCTGATGGCCCAACCTCACCCGCTTCCTCCTCCTGTGCCTCCTCGCCTCCGCCTCTGACGACCTCTCCTCCCCCACAATTGCCACCTCCGCCTCTCTCCTTCTAGAATCTTCCGAAAGTGTAACCGGTCGCCCACAACATGATACGAAATCCAACAAAAACTTCATATATTTAACAATTTCAGTCTCAGTTTGATTTGATCCTCCGATATATATCCACCAAATAGAAAAGGAAGAACCAGAAGGAAATTAGGCAGGATCAGAGTTGGCGGAAATCGGTGGCGTGCCGTCGGCATTTCATCTTCCTTTCGCCCGGGAAATTAATGGTTGCAGTTGTCTGGAATTAGTTGATTTTCCTCTCCGTGAGATTTGGGTTGTTCTTTTATTATAGGCTCCACGTTCGCTCAGCTTGGATTCGAAATTATCTATTTTTCTTCCAGACTGCCCGTAGTTGTCGGAAGTTATTACAAAATAGCCATGAAATTGAGCCCACTGATTTGACAGCAGTGGTTATTTCTGTAAGAGTGAATAAGTAAATAGAAATTATTCATATTTTATAAATTTAAATGTTGTTTAAAAAATTTTATATTTTTAAATATTTTTTTAATTTTAAAAAAAATTTTAAACAGTAAAGGTTTAAAATTTTTAAATTTGAACTTTTTATAAATTTATTATTTACTTATTTTTTATTCATTTTTTTATATATCTAAAAGCAAAAATTTTATTTTTTTCGATAAAAATTTAAATTTATCACTAATAACAATACTCAAAAAATAAAAGTTCTCACAAGTTACACCAAACAGATTCTTAGCACAAGTAATATTTCTTTCTTTTTTTTTTTTTGAAGCAGGAGAAAATTATTTTAAAAAAAGGAAAAATATTACAAGTGTTTTAATAAATATTTAAATTTTAACATAAGTTAAGGTGTTTGATACGAATTATTAACTTACTAAAAATTGTTAATACAGATAATATATATTTTACTTAACTATTAATTAAGAAAGTAAATTTCTTGATATTTGAGGTTTTTGACCGCTCTATTAAAGATTAATTGTTTTACGGTTTGCTTAGGTAAGATAAACTATCAAATAAAATAACATTATGGTATTTATTAATAACTAGTCTTGATAAGGTGGGTTGTTAAGTTGGCTTCAAATTATTGGTGTTGATTTAAATATAGCTGACTTTTTCCTTCCCTTTCCTTTATTCATGGACAATCTACTCACTCACCCACTGAATCTATATAAATCCCCAAATGTGAAACACGCTTTTGTTATATACATTATGGATACACTATTCTTTGGCATCCTCATTCTTTATGCCTATTAATATTATTAGTATGAAGATGAAAAGACCAACTCAAAACTTTTTAGAATATGAAAACGGCCTAAGTGATTGATTAGTAATATTCTTTTTAGTAGAAAAAAAAATGAGATCTTAGAGTTCAACTCATATTACATATGTGTAAAATAGATATTAATATATGGGAGAGGCTTCTTTTGCATTATATAACCTAAAATCAATATAAGCTAGGAACCAAAGAGTCTAATGGTATTTAATTTTATTTTGTGAAGAGTAAGTCATCTTAGTATATAAATATGAGGGATGTTTGTTATATATAGTGATTTGAAATTAATGCGTGGCTGTTTATTTTAATTCAATGGTTAAAATTATTGTTATTGATAATTTAAATATTTTTATTTGCTAAATTAGACAAAATTACTAATAGTTAATTTCAAACCATTATATATATGGTAAACATCCTCTATAGATGAGTAGAGGGGGAAAAAAATACTTTTGAGATTTTGCCGTGCAACTCACAATAAAAAGAAAAAAAATTTATTGGCCATTTAGTGAGCACTTTCCATTTAAAATAGAAATTTAAAAAATTTTCCTTTAATTTAATTTTCCTCTCCACGCATTTTTTGTGCACGTCCTAGTTCTCTCAAAGCACGGTACAAACTCGTCTTCCCCTCAATTCTCTGCCATCAAGTTTCTCTGGCGCCTTGACGCCAGATTCTATCAACTGATACAAGACAACAAATCAAAGAAAACAACTGATTTGGAGTGAAGCAGATGTGTATAACTTTTTGCCCTTCAGGGCAGACGTGTCTAATTCACAGAAAATAACTATATACACAATTTAAGCTGCGAGAAACGAAGATGCATTTACTCTTTGAAAAAATAATTTATATATTAATT